AAGTTACCTCCTGGACTAATACTATTAAGATGAATAGATAGAGCAATGTTAATTATAATTATCGCTGGATCTTATGATTTAAGACAAGAGAGCAATCACTAAATTAACAGCTACCGTACCTAGACACTAAATTTGCTATTTTGCAAATAGAACTTAATTTAATTTTAATGAATAATTTCATTCCCTATCTAGAAACGGTTGTAATTATCACATTGCGAACAAATCTTATTTTACAACGGAATGATGACCTTACAACAGAATAAATACATTTACATTTTCCAATTAATCTATTCAGCGTTAGCGCTATGAATGCCTTGAAAGAGAAAATTTTGTAGTTACAACGGCAGTTCGGAAGCAATCTAATGACAAATAATGAACCTCGATGAAGTAATTACAGCATCTTCCATTTAGCTACAATCAAGAAAATCTCTAATTAGCTTGACATATTGACTAATAGTCTATGCGAAGTTTTGTCAATAATTTCCTGCTCTATTTCTCTTCAGTTAAACTAGAACGATATCCGTTCCTTCTTAAGTAATGACAGACTCACTATCGCTTGGTGCGCAATACGCGCGTAGCCATATTAGCCTATTACAAGGATAACATATTTTGACAGTAAAATGAAAAATGAAATAAAGCATGATGTGATGTAGCATAGCTGGGTCAATTTTGAGCTAGTAGATTGCAAACCTTAGAGGTTAATAAATTAAAAAGGTTCATCACAACACGTCTACATGTATGTAAATACTGCAACTGGAGGGTAATGTTAGAAATGATATTCATTGGATATAAACTAGCTCGATTTGAAGCATTATACCGTATCAGTGAATAAAGTTATACCCTAAAGCAGTGGAATACCTACTTTAATAGCAATTGCAATCACTTTTATTATCGGAGCAAATTAGAATGATGAACAAGATTCAACTTATATAATATCGGCATTATAAACAGGTCATAAGATGACGATCAAATGGGCTTGGATTTTATTTGATCATCAATAGGATTGACAACCCCATTGCAGATCTGGCTTCCACACAACATATACTTGAAGATTGAGAGGCAAGACAACCAGTGGCTCGATATGAAAGCTGATTCACAATTTGAAGCGTGTTGATGCTATTTTTTTAAACCCAGCCTATGGAAATTGGTTAATCCTAATGGAAGACAGAGAGGCTTTAAAATCAAAATTAGTTTGACGCCTGTTCACGGTTCCACTTTGACTCGAATTGATGCTTTTCGGATCCTCATTAGTGAGGATAGAGCTGGACATTGAGTAGAATTATTGAGTATTGTACAGTCCATTACATCAAAACTACATCAGCCTTGTGCAGGGATCTCTACAAACTGAAATCGAAATAAGAGATGCCCTTCTTTTCAGACCGTTCATCGCTGGCATCTTTTCAAAAGTTCAAGAAATGTAGCCTTCATTAGACCGCTATTTCGTAGGTGTGGCGAGCCCTATAGGCGTATATACTAGTCGAGAATTGTTCAGCGATAGCCCTTCAATTAGGCCATTCAATTTTGAAGGCATTTACTTTGAATTTAGCTAAAATTTCACGAATACAGATGACGATAACTCTGATTAATTGGCACTAGATGCTTTTTTTCCCCCACTTTTACCGCATTATAATTGAGTTATTTGATTTCTTTCAAATTTCGAATACAAACCAACAGTCACTACTACGTGTACGGTCGGCTCCACCAGTATACAAGTCACGCTGAAATAATAGTCTTCCATACTACCAGAGGATGTCCCAACTCCGAAGAGATCCGTACATCCAGACGTCCAGACTTTCTTATTCTTAGTAACCTGTTTGAGTTTATTTCCATACTGATACATAGACTGTTTTCAACTATTTGTGATGTCTAGTCTACACGTTCAATCGTAGCAGTAGCATACTGTACACAGTATACTGTCCAATACAATACCGACAGTGCCTCATAGTTTGTCCAGTAAGCTTTCTACGATTAGCTAACCCCTACAAATTATATGAACATAGAACTGCCAAATTATTATTCCTCTTCTTTATTTCATTCCTTTAGAGCCGAAGGATAATGTGAAAGATGACGGTAAGTGTTAATTAAATCGTTTTCTATTTATAATTATAGTAATTCATTTGCTCATTTAATTATAATAGTGACTAGAAGTGATTATTATGTATGATATTATCGCACAAAGTTCTGCTAGCTAATTAGAATGCCAACGAATATTTCAAATTATAATTAGAACATATAAACTACTACTCCACTACTTTATTTGTGAGTATCCAACAATAAGTGAAATGAATTAGGTTCAATTAAAACAAATGTATCCACATTTAAATCATGTGGTATTTCCTTAAATTATTGAGTCATATTGATAGCACACAGCTGCGTATGCGGGTTCGGCTAGTCTATGATAAAATATTTTCAATTTGTAATTTTAAGATGACTTATGTGGTAATATATATTTTATTCGTGTCTTATAGATCCTAGAAACTATTTTCACTCGATCGCTAGTTGTGTTGGTGTAGACTGGACAAAATTAGCAACAGTCCTAGATCCAACGATTGATACTGAGGTTATCGAAGCAAAACATCGTGGTCATGCCTATAACAGTGCCATCCAATCGCTGAATCAGTGGTATAGAAGGAAATGCCCAAATGCTACCCTTAATCTATTGCGGAACGCTTTGAAAACGATTGGCAGAAATGATATTATTATCCCAAACGAACAAAATTCCTAGAGGACTAATCTTCTTTCGTCTACTTTAGTGTAGATTCTAATTGATTGATGGTCTATTTGTGCTTATTTGCATTTTTTCATGATCAAAATAATTAGCGTTATAAGAAAATAATGTTTTATTTTGCCTTGGTTGAAATAAACCAACAATTTGATGGACAATATTAGCAATGCTCAATGTGATTGATTTCAATCTTTCAGCTTCGCCATCACAATCACGTTTTGTGTAAGAATCTGCTGATGTAAAAATTAAGTTTTTAACATTTTATTCCTGTGCACAACGAAATGACAACATGATAAGCATCATAAATTTACTTTAAATACTTATGGAGCACTTATAAATTGCTGGTGAAGGATAAAACATTTATAATTGTAAAATATTCTAAAGCGTTTCTTAATTACGGTTTCTATTCATTTTTGCTTGTACTAATTGTGAGTTAAACTTGTTCATGCTGTGCTATTTTATGCAAAGTGACGTTGTTTCAGACGGTAGAATTAACCTACTTTTATGAAAGTCATAAAGATCCTGACAATAAAGAAATCTTTTGCTATATTGAATTGCAAGAAGAGCTAGTTAAATGCCAGTTATCGACTGTGAATAGCTTCTAGTCATGATTGCTACGAAGTACGAAATTAAGGCGAAATTGCTTTACTGTTATTACATGGGGACTCACTGTAACTGGTAGTAAACTAAGGAAAAATGCATTCAGTCCTACAGCCAAAGGTGATGTAATCGAGTTAAACTATAAAATAATTAAATAAAACAGTACTTATTTAGAGATAGATTAAACGAACATTATAACATAGTAGAGTAAGCCAATCATTATTTGGACAAAACACGAATTTACTACTAACTTACTTTCATCCAACATCCTTGCGACCAACCATTTCTCTACTTGGTTATAAGCCACTCAAGAAATCCATTGAAGATCGTTCAAGACCATGTCTGTGTAGCAACACCTGATGACTACGATAGAGCATACCTTGCATAAATTGTATAGTCAATGGTCCATAGACTAAATCGCTGAACCAAACAATATAGCCATAGGTTGGAAAATTGTAACATTGGCAAGGCAAAATTTTCACATTCATGGCAACGACTGTATTTGATCTTTCCATCTCACTCCGGGCTTGTCCTGCCAATTTGTACGACATTTCATCAAGACAGTATGAGCTAAAACGAGTAAAAGACTCTTGAATAATTTGAGTAAATGGAAGATCAAATGAATAAAATCATGTTGAATCCGTCTATGGTTCGTTTAAATTACACCATCGGCACCTTTCCTGTAATCATCGAGCGCCACTGGTCATGGAGCGGTTACAATCTTTGTGGCTATTACCCAAGTTTGAGAAGCTACTCTAGTACTCCTCATGGAGAAATTGATTAGTCTTGTACAGTAAACGGACAGTTTATAAGCTAGAATGCATTAGTGTACTGCATCAAATCGCAGTTTCGATAGCATATCAGCTTCCACGAGAATGCTCCTGTCTTGATTATTTTAGACGAGTTAGTACTTGGTACAAGATGGTAGTACAGCTAGTGCACCTGTAAAATGTCATGACCTGTTTTAACCAGAGTTGAGCAAGTTACCCTGATATCACTAGTTAGCTGCTCAATATTAGTTTTGAACTTATTGCATTGGTATCAACTTCATGTAGAAACAGTTTAGGAAGCTTTAAGAAGTAAGTTTACTTAAAATTACATAGTACAGCGTGGAGTCTGTCCAAATTCTTTGTTCCATTTTGCACTGTGCAGCATTTTTAGAGCTGAGATTGGTATATTATTTTGACTAGAAATAATTTGTAAGCATGCATGTACAGCATAGACTTGGCAATTCTCCTCCATGTAGTTGATAAAAGTACCAGCCATGTCCATTTTAGCTCTATTGTCTGAAGCCAACATTAGCGTGCCTTCGACATCTATGTTAAAGTAGTGCAAATTAGTGCATACGAGAAGTAAGCGTAGATGATTCTTTTTATGTTACATCTTTTATCCTCTTTGAATTAATATGAAGATTGTTCTTCCGATGACAGAAATTACTCTTGGCCACTGTTTTATTGGCGATCATCATCGATGATGAGTCCAATAACTAAGCCATCTTGCTGAATCGCTTGATATCATCTTCATCGTGCGCTACTGTATTCCGTTGATTTTTTACTGTCATTTGTCGAACAGTTTATAAAGGATACTAAACAATTTTCTTTAAATGGTGTATATTAACAATTTATTGATTCTTAATTATTGAATAAAATTAAGGTAGTAATCATACGGAATTGCTATGGATTGCAGTGCTTCCAGAGTGTATGAAGGATTACATCTTGTATCTATTGCATGCAATATGCAATCAGGCCAAGCAGTACTCTCGCCAATCCTGTCAGGAGATTTTAATTTGACCTTACTTTGCTCTACTCCGATCATAAAATACTTCTCTTGGTTGTTGAAAACTGTTGAGGTATGCTCGTAGAAATGATTACCTATCCTTGAGAATGAGTTCTGTGACCATGGATCGAAGCTGAACTTGTTGAATAAGAAGCTTCTATGGCGCGAGAATGCAGCGAGCGTAAGTGCTGAGAGGTTAGTGCCTTGTTGTAATGCAATGCTTGTATTAGATGCCTGTTGCCAATCAAAGTAGAATATGCTACTGCTGATTAGTCAAGTGATTAATCCGTTTTATAGCATATCCAATGTTGTAATCCGTTGTTGATGTATCTGGTTAGTTATCTACCCATGCAATAATTCATTGGCATAATGCCAATGAACTTTTACAAATAACATCATTGACGGCTTACTAAGCTAACAAGAAATAGAAATTCGGTAGGGAAGATACTCGTAGGTTAATCTTAAACTCGTATTTAATAAACTAGTACAAATTAGAGCTGTTTTACTTTCATAAGGTCTTATGATTATGCACAAGTCGTTGCAAAGAAACCTAATTTTATTTAAAAATAACATAAAATTCCCGCTAGTTGTAGCCCTTTAACAATATTTAGTTGTCCCACTTTACGGTTTGGAAGATGATCGGAGTCGAAGGTAGAATGAGAAGTAAACCACTAAAAAATAATCGTATAGGAATAAAGTGCACTATATTCATATGCTGCATGAAGTAGCGGTATTGCAATAATTATTTGGTATGGATATTTAGTTTTCGATTAGGGTTTTAGGGTTACCAAGACTGAATAGAACAGAATGAAGAATATTTCTTATCAACAAAAATACGATCGTAGAAATATGTCCTTAAATTAATTTTTGCAAACGAGAGCCGCAGCTCATAACAAGCCTTATACAAATACACCTACTAAAAGGTATTTTATAGAATCCTGCTAAGATGATTGTGTATGAACTTTAGTATCTTTTCTCTGTTATGTATAGATATTTTAACGTATATATTAATAATTAAGAATTACAATTAAAGGATATTTAAGGCTATTACCCATTTTGGTGGACGCTTACGGTGCATCTACCTTATGCAGAGAGAGCCCACATATTCAAGTAATCAACAAGTGTCGATCATGGATAATGTAGAAATTTAAAGGTCAGTAGTTCAGTCAATGGTTAATGGTCAGCCTCGAGAGCTTTGAGTATACATTCAGTTTTTCGTCAATAGATTGAATTATGTAGTTTAATTTAGGCGTCGCCATAAGATCATAATATAGCGATATAAACTATATACTAAAGAGGGGACTACCAGTACGCGGTACAGCGATATAATATAGAAGACCTAGCAAAGCATAAGTTAATTAATAAAACCCTAGCTTAATGGCGCAGTTACTATAGCAACCTTTATCCGTCGGCTATGCATCATC